AAATAAAATAAAATAAAATAAAATAAATAAAACATTTAAGACATGATTAGTGTAAATAGAATAAACATGGTGTGAGACTTTTATGTAAAAACAAAGAACTGATGGGGTGTACCAGCTGATTTATTCAGAATAAAATTAGGTTTTATAACAAGGAAATGTGTGCTAGTGATTATTTACTCTAAGTGCTAATTTTACCACTCAGTCATTCTGAACCATGATTCCAACATAGAAGAAAACAAAAACACAACAAACAAAATAATTAACAATCCGTTAGCAAACAAACATTTTAATACTGAAGGAGGAAATCCATTTTAATATCAAGTCCTACCTCCTCAGAAGTTTTCCTCCTGTCAGGTAACACCAGAGTGTTTGCATGATTTCCGGGTCCTATAGNTTTGCCAGAATCTGTATCACAAAGAAATTATTGCAAAAAAAATGCTTATTTTCCGTTTTAAATGTGATTTCCATCCGCATCAAAGCGACGCTTCTCTTTATGAACCGCACACAGGAAGAGGACAACTCTTGTGGTTTTCACAGACCCACGCAGGAATATTATTGTTATACTGACACCAAGTGATGTGGGAAGTCGTTGCAAAAGTAGACATAAAATATAGCAAAATATGCACACATATGCAAAAGCACAACCGATTTAAATGTGTCTCTGTATTTATCTGAAAGCGCAGTTTATTAATTAGGGCGCATAAAATCTGTTTTATTCATAGTCTTGTTTTTCCTCATTGAAAACAAAGGAGCAGGGTATTTTTCAGCACCATGGCCAGAGACGAGAAATATCCTGCCATTTTAGTCTCCATAATAAGATATAAACTTCTAAAAATTATGTTCTCTGACAAAATTATCACTATCTGATAAAAAACAGCACTCATAAAAGAAGGCAAAACTAAATGACAAAACTCAAAACTCACACAGTTGACTTTATGAAACAAAAAGTTCAAACATTTGCTTAAATATATAAACACAGGTTGTGTTGAATTTTAGAATGCACAACAAAACTAAAAGGGAAAAATAGGTTGTATGAAATGTATGAGTATTTAAACGAGCAGTTTTCAGATATAACAGGGTATCGTTCCAATTTTTTAGTGTTCACTTGTGTGTGTGATTACAATTTAAATTGTTGAATGCCTCACAAAGGTATTCATCCAACCACGTACAAAAATAAAATAAAAGAAAAGAAAATAAAAGAAAAGAAAAGAAAAGAAAAGAAAACATTTCAGGCATGATTAGTGTAAATTGAATAAACGTGGTGTAAGGCTTTTATGTAAAAACAAAGAACTGATGGGGTGTACCAGCTGATTTATTCAGAATAAAATTAGGTTTTATAACAAGGAAATGTGTGCTAGTGATTATTTACTCTAAGTGCTAATTTTACCACTCAGTCATTCTGAACCATGATTCCAACATAGAAGAAAACAAAAACACAAACAAACAAAATAACTAACAATCAAATAGCAAACAAACATTTTAACACGGAAGGAGGAAATACATTTTAATATCAAGTCCTACCTCCTCAGAAGTTTTCCTCCTGTCAGGTAACACCAGAGTGTTTGCATGATTTCCGGGTCCTATAGTAGATCCTATACTCATCCTGGGTCCAACTAACATGTAGCGTTTGTCTCCAGATCTGTACTGGATGCTGTGACACAGTGTC